CCTGTTATACGGAGCATGCCCAGGGCTGGTTCACACCACATGCAGTCTAAATGCAAGTGACAGGACAGTGGCTTAGTGGTTAGCACTTCTGCCCAGCAGCACTAGGGTCATTGGTTCGAATTCCAACCATGGCACTACCTGCATGGAGTTTGCATGTTCTCCCTGTGTGGGCTTCCTGCCACACTCCAAGGACATGCTAGTAGTTTTTTGGCTCCTGTCCAAATTGCCCCTAGTATATGAATGTGAGTGAGATTGTAAGCTTCTTGAAGGCAGCGCCTGATGTGAATGTATGATATGTGTAAATTGACAGCGCATAAATGTACCTGAATAATGCATGTTTTTTTTTTTTTGCAATCTGGTACATTTCAGAAGGGTTTCACTTAATGCAAACAAAAGAGCTGACATTACAAATAAAAAAGTGTGTGTGTGTGTGTGTGTGTGACACTGAAGGGCCCGTGCTCTTTTGGTACATGTTAGCTATGCAGTTTTCGTTTTGCTGTCATTGGGGAATCACTGACAGCAGCGGTGAGGTTCTGGTTGTTAGGAGACAGCACCTGATGGCATCATAACAACCCACAGAATTTGCAGGCAATAATGCGTGTCAGTGCGTTTAGGTGTCTGGCCATGTCCCAGTGTAGGTCCATGCAGAACGCATTCATCATGTTCTAATTTGGTGAGCTGCAAAAAGAACATGCTCCACTGGGGTGAACTAGAGCCATTAGAATAGATGGGAAATACTAGACGTGTTTTGGCTGCTGATTGTCAGCAATTTGGGTGGAGCAGCCCTCACAAAATGTGAGATTTCCTGCTCTGTACCCTGCACATAATCAAGGACTTACAACTTTTATTATTTTATAGCACTGAGCATGCCCAGGGACTAAGACATTTCACACATTTTCTGTTGAACACTTCACAGGTACATATGCTTAAAGAACTGTTGCTTTTTTTCTATGCATGCTGATGGCTGTAGATCTTTGGCCTTCAGTCTGACATGGTACACATAGCCAAGGGTTAACACATTTGCAAAGAGAATGTGTGCTAATCAGGTGCAATCACTTGAGGCATACATGGAAACAGATTGGATGATATTAGTGGGCATATCCTTTATTGGGCATGCTAACAAGACAAACTATGTTATATAAAGAAAGGACTGCAGTAGTGGGGTTTTCCTTGGCCTGAGAAGAGGCCAGATTATTGTGTCAGTCCTTCGCTTTTTTTTTTTTTTGGTACCCTGGCAGAAATTGTGAACTTTTGGCATGGATATTGAAAATATGACTGATCATGCCAAAAAATGCTCTTTTATTGAAAGATTATCATATGAAGCCATTTATTATCAAATAGTTTTTTAGATCATTTTTTAAATCAAAATAACAGAAAATCACCCAAATGGCCATGATGAAAAGTTTACATACCCTGGAATGTTTGGCCTTGGTACAGACACACAAGGTGACACACATGGGTTAAAATGCCAATTAGAGGTTAATGTCCCACATCTGTGGCTTTTTAAATTGCAATTCGTGTCAGAGTATAAATAGTCAATGGGTTTGTCAGCTCTTACATGGAAGTACTGACTAGGCTAGATACTGAGCCATGGGGATCAGAAAAGAACTGTCAAAAGTCCTGTGTAACAAGGTAATGGAACTTTATAAGGATTGAAAAATCACCTATTAAAAAGTGGAAAGTTTGGGGATCTCTGGATACCAAGCCAAGGTCAGGTAGATCAAGAAAGACTGCAGCCATAACTGCCAGAAGAATTGTTCTGGATACAAAGGGAAACCCATAGGTAACCACAAGAAAAATACAGGCTGCTCTGGAAAAAGACCTTGTGTGGTGGTGAGACTTTTTGTACCTTAAACTTAAATTTGCCTTCCTGAGGATTTATCCTCCTTCCTGACCAGGCCTTTTTCTTTGCGTTCCGGCGCTGCATTACTTTAACAATTGTGTGGTCATGAAACGATGTACCCAAATAAAATTTACGCCCTTCACCCCCCCCCCCCCCCCCCCCCCCCCCCCTCACGAATAGAGCTTACTTTTGGTGGCATTTGATCGCCTGTGCATTTTTTTTATTTTTTGCGCTATAAAAAACAAAAAAAAACCTCCATACGTGTAAATTAATTGGTTTACATGAAAGTTCTAGCGTTTACAAATGGTGGTATATATACTGGGATTGGTTTTCTTTTTTTTTTTTCATTTTTACTCGCAATGGCAGCGATCAGCAACTTATAGCGGGACTGTGGCGGACATTTTGACACTGACATCCCCAGTGGACACTAATACAGTGATCAGTGCTAATAAAAAGCACAGACACTGTACTAATGGCACTGGGCAGGAAGGGGGTTAACATGAGGGGCGCTCAAAGAGTTAACTGTGTACAGGGCACTTCCTGATGACGCTCCATTGATCGAAACCGGTCGAGGTTTGATGACTTTCTGCTGAAGTCATTTCCGCCCTTTGGAACGCACGCTGGAAAGCGGCGGCCATCTTGTTCCTATTCACAGGCAGCAAGGCTAAATACACTGAGTGCCAGGTTATGGGCACTTTGCTTGTTTCATTCTTATAATTTCTCCCCATCAATAAAGTTTGTTATGGTTTTACACTATGGGATGTTTGCTTTTGTTTCTGTTCACATGCTGAAACTTGGTTTACTGCCTGGGAGGGGAGGAGAGGAGAGGAGAGAGTTTAAAAAGGTTCTGTTTAAACTACACATTTATATCCACGCTGGTCATCATCCTATTGGTTACTAATCAGCCAGATCACATGATTCCCAGGAATGAATATTGGTGCCATTCTTGCCATCACGCATTGGGCTAGTCCCAAACCAGGCGCTTAAGACCAACCTAGAGATAGGTGGTCAAGGGGCAACGGTGAGTGCACATCCATGTGGAGCACCGATTGAGCACAGTGGAGCACCTGTCATTTTTGCACGAAGTTCACCAATTAGTATTCAACACCTGGGCACTTTATTTTTCCCGAATTGGGACTGAATGTTACAGTCCACGTGGTATTTTGTGTACAGGGAGTGTTTTACTAGGGGGCCGTGTCAGTGTGCTTCACTGTAAATCACACTGCTCCGGATGTGCACAGCCATCCAAAGCAGTATGCAGGAGCTGACAGAGAGAACTGTTAGTAAATAAAACAGTCCTCCTCCCTGTCGGAGATCTTTGGAAATGATCGGGCACCGGTGAGTAATTACCGGCTGGGACCTGGTGATTGACAGCCGTGGCCACGAATGGCGGCGTGGGTAGTGTGTGTCTCCTACCCAGAAATGCAAAATCACGTATATATACACACGTATTTCTGCTATAGGGTGGACCGGAAGTGGTTAACATGTTAATCTGGGGCTTTTTTTTTTTTTTTATTCAGTTGCAATCTGAGGAACACCAATCAATTTCTAAATAAAGTCAAATAGTTTTCATAATAAAATGTATTGCACATCACAGAAAATCTATTTCAGGGGTATTTAATTAAAATTCACAGAGAACCGATCAGTAAAAATTTTCTTACAGCAGAGGTCCGAATCTCATGTTGGCATCTGTGGTGCATTTTTGTGTTCCAAACCGCATGTTGCTGCAGCACCATGCGTTTTGGTGCAGAACACTTTTGAAAAAACGGTCAAGGACTTCTTGCAGGTCTGTGTTTTGTGCAGGTAGTGCAGCCCATTAAAATGAATGGGCTGACCTACCCGCGACGTGCGCACCAAATGCACATATCTGAACCTATTCTTACATCCTCAGTCCCCTCCCCCTTCACATCAAGATCCCCTTTTGAGGAGTGTCCTCAGCTTTCCCTTTACATCACCCTCCCTTCACCCCTTTCTCAGTAGTGTTCCCACATTTCCTTGACATCAACGATCCCAGCAGTACTGTCCTCTGCCCCTTTACTAGAGTATTCTGCCCCTATTAACATCACCTGCCCATATGACAGTCCTCAGGCACCTCCCCATATGACCGTGCTCAGGCCCCCCCACATTATTCAGCCCCCCCCCCCCCCCCCCCCCTTACTGTCCTCACTGCCCACACATCAAAGTTCTCAGCCCTCCCACAGCACAGTCCTCAACCTGTGTGACCTCGGGCTATGACAAGCCTGGGTTCACATAGGAGCAGTGGGGAAACTGCATGCAGTCTTTGAGGTGCAATTTGCGTCCATTAATGCTAATCGCACTGTCAAGTATAGATTAAGGTATCGGGGAGTATTTTCATGAGCACTCATGAAAATAATCAGTATCGGCATCAATACCGGTTTCGGTGCATCCCTACTAAAATAAGTTTCTCCCATTGCTGCTCTAAAGTAGCACAGCGACAGAATAAGGTCTATTTCACAGCAGTGACAGTCAGCCCATCAGTTTAAATGGACTGAGCAGCCGCTGCTGATCCCATGATCTGGTCATTCCAGCAGCAAGAATCCGCCGGCCACAGGTAACCGGCTCTGTGAAACAGGCCTAAAACCTGACCCTGACCACTTGTGTGTCTATTTTACATTTTAAAATTACCAACAGTGTCAATGCCCCACCATGTACCCACCCTGACTCCATGCACACTAAGATTTTTTGTAAGTTCAAAAAACGCTGGAGAAAAAAAAAAAAAAAAAGCTGGTAATAGTGTTTAGGAGCGTCAGCATTTTATTAGTGTTTTTACAGTACATGTAGGATAAAAAAACAAAACAAATAAAGCTAGAAACAAAAAAAAAAAAAAGAAAAAAAAAAAACTGTTAGGAGAGTTTAGTGGGGGGTTTTTTTTCTGCTGGGGAAGCAAAAAAAAAAAAAAAAAAAAAAAAAACCAAACACACCATAAAAAAAAAAAACCCACACATATCTCTCTTTTCCTGCTCCTAGACGCTGAAGCTCAAAAAATGTTAATAGCCTAAAGTAGTGTGCATGGACACAAAAGGATAACATTATCTTCTATCTAGGAGCAGAAAAAAAAAATGCTCATAACAGCTTCTAGGAGCTAGTGCGCATGGAGCCTAGTCAGATTAAGAAGAAAAACAAAAAAAACTCTTACCTTTAGGACATTCTTGGACAAGATCGAGAACAACTGAATCTGCTCCTTTAGTGTAAACAACAATTTCATCTGTAAGTGGATGTCTGACAACCACAGACATCCGTTTCCTGGTAGCGTCAAATCCCAGAGTGTGCAAAAGTTCAAAGCTTAGTCTCCCCAAGTGTGGTAACTCAACAGTTACTTGGTCAGACAGTCTACCAACAAGAGAAAAGCTATACGCTCGGGCAGCATATACAAGAGCAGCTTCATCAGGGCTTTCTGCTTCATAGCGTAACTCTCCCTCCTGTACATCTCTTGTGACTCTGGTTCCATGGTGAGAGTCCTGACTACCAACAGTAGTCTGTGGAGTGCCATAGACTTTTCCTTCTAACTTAGTAAAATTGCCTTCGACTGAGCTGGAAGACAAAATACTTGATCCAATTCTTTGCATAGATTTGCTAGTGGCAAGACTTGATGAGCTACTACTACTATTTGATCCCGAAGCGAGTCGGCTAGGAGTAAACCTACGGATGAAGTCCTCGATGGTTTTAACAGGGGATTTCAGTTCATAACGGACTCGAACCTTTAAAAAAAAAAAAAAAAAAAAGTTAAACTGAATTTGCACTTGGCCCGGCTCTTCCCAAACTATTAGCCAGTTTAACTCCACAGTGCAAAAGGCAATAACTCACTGCAACCAGACTATTACTGTACAACTACCGTATTTGTGGCATTCTAAATGAGCTTTCCATATGCATTTCTGCACTGCAAAAGTCTGAAAGGGCCCTTAAACCTTACAGCAACTAGAAATAGGATTGTCAGATTATTGCAGTTTGCACTACTATACCATATGAAATAAGCCATTAAAGTGGTATTAGAAACAAAAAAAAAAAAAAAGCAACCCGCACACCACAAAATGTCACTTACCTCTTCTTGGGTCAGCCAGCGATGCTCCAGGTCCCACCCTCATGTCTAGTGCCCTCATAGCAAGCTGCTTGCCATAGGGGCACCTGAGCAGGCTCACTACCAAGCCACTGCTGTGTGTTCATTCACACATGGAGCATTGCTCAGCCCCGCCCTAGACCTCTCCTCATTGGCTCACTGGCTGTGACAGTAGCGGGCGCCCTTGGCTATCGCTACTGTCTCAGCCAATGAGGAGGGAGAAACCAAAGACAGCCGAGGCTCTCTTGCACAACGCTGGATCGGAATGGGGCTCAGGTAAGTATTAGGGGGGCTGTTGCACACAGGTCTTACAACCACTTTGATGTGGAACTGAACTCAAAGTGAAACCATGATATATTATAGGGAACATTTAGAAATATTAAGTTTGCTTAAGTAGTACCCTAAAAAAACAAACAAAAACTACATTTTATTTGTAATTCCTCCTGAAAAACAGCAGTACACTGCCTGGTATTTGAGCGCATCTAGGCACGCCTGTATCTACAAGCCTCATAGCTGTATAGCTGCAGTGTGTGCTCTATGGTATTGCTACCTGACTGGCTAGTGTCAGGAGATTTGGAGTGAAATTGTGATATCATTGCTGTGCTCCTCACTGTTCTCTCATTGTTGGAGACTAAACATGCATGGGGAAGCAAAAAGTCCTGCCTCTACCAAAATGGCTGCCTCCGCACAAAAACAGTGTAAAGAAAAGCATTGTAAGTTCAGCTGACTGAATGAATGTTATTTTGAGCTGTCGTATTCAACTCCAATTTTTTTTCCTGTCAATTTCTGTCCAGGTGAGAAGTCATAAGGTATGACAAAAAAAGCAAAAAGAAGCACATTTACTAAATAAAAATAAGCTTACAATTGTTTGCTCTGTCTTCCTGTCCTGTGACACCTGCACTCTCTCACTTTTTGTTCAGGTGTCACCTCGAAGTCCCCATCCTTACCCACTTTAACAGATTTAAAAGCTTTTAGCTGGATTTCAGCTTTAAACATTTTTATAGCTGCATTTTCCACTGCTACAATGCATGATGCAGGGAGTAAGTTAAGACTCCGAACAGCACATTCTCTCCACTCATATTACCTTTTGTCTAGGCTGATTTGGAGAAGTTACAACAACAGTATTGCAAATAGTCAAAGCAACAAAAAAGTCAAACACATCCATCAGTTCTGGAGTGAGCCTGGAGATGAGATCTTCGCGGTTTCTCACAATCTTCAAAGCTTTAGTGCAATCATTTACTTTTTCTAGAAGCTTTGGGTCAGGAGTGATATCTTTTTCCTTCAGGAAAAAAAAAAAAAAAAAAAAAAAAAAAACAAAAACGTTTTTTTTTTATATTTTAATCAATTTTATATATCACTTATTTACAATTGGGAAACAAAAAAATAAATCACAGTTCAGAACCCCTTCTCTTTTTCAGTTTTGTTACTTTGCAGCCTGATACTACAGTTGTTTAAATTCATTTTTTTCTAACTAATCTACACTCAGTACCCCATAATGGCAAAGCGAAAACAGATTGAAAATGTTTGAAAATTTATGAAAAGCAAAAACTGAAATATCACATTGGCATAAAGTATTCACACCGTTTGCAACAACACTTGAAATTTAGCTCAGGTGCCTCCCATTTCTCTTGATCAATCAAGGTGTAAAAACATCTCAGCAACAGAGTCCACCTGTAGCAAATTAAATTGATTGGACAGGATTCGGAAAGGTACACACCTCTATAAAAAGCCTCAGAACCAACGATGCATACTGCATCAGAGCAAAAGCCATGAGGTCAAAGGGAATTGCCTGCAGAGCTCAGAGACTGGATTATTGCAGGACATAGATCTGGGGAAGGCTACAAAAAAATTGCTGCACTGAAGGTTCCCAAGAGTACAGTGGCCTCCATAATTCTCAAATTGAAAAGGTTTGGTCTAACAAGGACTCTTCCAAGAGCTGGTCACCTGGCCAAACTGAGCAATCAGGACAGAAGGGACTTGGTAAGAGGCAACAAAACAAAAAAATTGATAAAAGTGAAGAGGGTCAGAATGCATACATACAGTTGTGCTCAAAAGTTTGCAGACCCTGGAAGAAATTGTGAAATTTTGACATTGATAATAAATGGCTTTATATAATCATCATCCTTCAATAAATGAGCATTTTTTGGCATGATCTGTCATATTTTCAAATAGTTGCTTGGCTACTTTTTAAATCATAAATAGAAATCACCCAAAATGGCCATGATCAGTTTACAAATCCTGGAATGTTTGGCCTTGGTACAGACACAAGGTGACACACACAGGTTAAAATGCCAGTTAGAGGTTAATGTCTCACATCTGTGGCTTTTTAAATTGCAATATGTGTCAGTGTATATTAGCGCCTACATGGAAGCACTGACTAGGCTAGATACTGAGCCATGGGGATCAGAAAAGAACTGTCAAAAGTCCTGCGTAACAAGGTAATGGAACTTTATAAACATGGAAAAGGACATAAAAAGATGTCCAAAGCCTTGAATATGCCAGTCAGTACTGTTAAATCACCTATTAAGAAGTGGGAAGTTCAGGGATCTTTTGATACCAAGCCAAGAAAGATTGCAGCCACAACTGTCAGAAGAATTGTTTGGGATACAAAAGGGAAACCAATAGGTAACCACAAGAAAAATACAGGCTACTCTGGAAAAAAAATGGTGTGGATGACACTTGAACAAAAATGAGCTGCATGGTCGAGGTGCCAGAAAGAAACCTTTACTGCATCAATGACACAAAAAGGCCTGGTTAGGCATATCAAGGTGTTGTCAGGCATATTGTAACTGGGCTTTTTTGTGGCATTGGTGGAGTAAAAGCTTCTCTTTCTGGCACCTCGACCAAACAGCTCATTTTTGTTCAAGTACCACTGTATTGTACTCCTTAAAAACAACCACACCATCTATTTCCAGAGCAGCCTGTATTTCTTTTGAGATTGCCTGTAAGTGTTTCTTTGAATCCCGGACAATTCTTCTGGCAGTTGTTGCAATCCTTTTTGGTCCACCTGACCTTGGCATCAAGAGATCCCTGATCTTTCCACTTCTTAATGGGTGATTTAACAGTACTAATTGGCATATTCAAGGCTTTGGACATCTTTTTGTCCTTTTCCATCTTTATAAAGCTCCATTACCTTGTTACGCAGGACTTTTGACAGATTTTTTCTGATCCCCATGGCTCAGTATCTAGCCTAGTCAGTGATTCCACGTAAGAGCTAACAAACTCCATTGACTATTTATACACTGACACTAACTGCAATTTAAAAAGTCACAGATGTGGGACATTTCTGTTAAGCTTTAAAAAAGGAGCCAAAATAACCATTTGATAATAAATGGCTTCATATGATCATCATCCTTGAATAAGAGCATTTTTGGCATGATCAGTCATATTTTCAATATCCATGCCAAAATGTCACAATTTCTGCCAGGGTATGCAAACTTTTGAGCACGACTGTACACACATACATATATACATACACACTGCTCAAAACTGATGTGGACTGGGTAATGTGTTAGGAACTTAAGGATGCCCCATAGTTTGATGGAAATGAAAATAATCAACCTACAGACGACCAAATTCAAAGAGACTCCGAAACCCAAGAGTGAAAAAATTATGCAGCAGGATAGTCTATTTTGCTGAAATTTCATTGTAGTAACTCAAAATGGTACTCAGTTTGTATGGCTCTCACATGCTTGTATGCATGCCTGACGTCGGGGCATGCTCCTAATGAGACGACGGATGGTGTCCTGGGGTATTTCCTCCCAGATCTGGACCAGGGCATCACTGAACTCCTGGACAGTTTGGAGGTGCAACCTGGCAGTACTGGATGGACCGAAACAGGATATCCCAGAGGTGTTCTATTGGATTTAGGTCAGGCGAGCGTGGGGGCCATTCAATGGTATTAATTCCTTCATCCTCCACAGAAAGCCGGGCATGGCCGTGCACCAGGAGGAACCCAGGACTCACTGCACCAGCATAGGGTCTGACAATGGCTCTAAGGATTTCATCCCGATACCTAATGGCAACCAGGGTGCCATTGTCTAGCTTGTAGAGATCTATGTGTCCCTACATGGATAAGCCTCCCCAGACCATCAATGACCCACCACCAAAACGGTCATGCTGAACGATTTTCAGGCAACATAACAGTCTCCACGGCTTCTCCAGACTCTTTCATGTCTGTCACATGTGCTCAGGGTGAATCTGTACTCATCTGTGAAAAGCACAGGGCACCAGTGGCGGACCTGCCAATTTTGGTGTTCAAATGCCAACCGAGCTCTAAGGTGCCAGGCAGTGAGAACAGGGCCCACTAGAGGACGCCAGGCCCTCAGGCCACCCTCATGAAGTCTGTTTCTGATTGTTTTGTCAGAGACATTCACACCAGTGGCCTGCTGGAGGTCATTTTGTAGCGCTTTGACAGTGCTCAACCTGTTCCTCCTTGCACAAAGGAGCAGATACCGGTCCTCCTGATGGGTTAAGGACCTTCAACAGCTCTTTCCAGCTCTCCTAGAGTAACTGCCTGTCTCCTGGAATCTCCTCCATGCTCTTGAGACTTTAGTGGGAGACGCAGCAAACCTTCTGGCAATAGCATATATTGATGTGCCATCCTGGAGGAGTTGGACTGCCTGTGCAACATCTGTAGGGTCCAGCTATCGCCTCATGCTACCAGTAGTGACACTGACCCTAGCCAAATGCAAAACTAGTGAAAAACAGTCAGAAAAGATGGAGTAGGGAAAAAAAATGTCAGTGACCACCTGTAAAATCATTCCTGCTTTGGGGGTTGTCTCATTGTTGCCCATCTAGTGCACCTGTTAATTTCATTAATACCAAAGCAGCTGAAACTGATTAACAACCCCCTCTGCTGCATAACAGACCAGATCAATATCCCAGGAGTTTAACTGACTTGATGCTATACTCCGATTAAAAAAAAAGTGTTCCTTTAATTTTTTTGAGCAGTGTATATTTATATTACACACATACACACTGCTTAAAAGTATATAAATGTGAAGTACAAAGTAAAAAATATTAGCAAGCTGGTCTGGTAGGTCTCTGAACAGACAGCACTAAGTGCACTAGGGTAATAAAGGAATAAGCTTCCTTTGTTATTGTACGTCTGAGTAATAGAGAACATTTAAAAAAAATATAGCATGCATTGGTTTAATAATTTTATAGGGTATTCACAGAAAAATTAACCTATAAATTACACCCCCATTGTAAAAAGTAAGGCCTCCAGCCTCACTGCTAGATGCACATAGGCCCAATCTAGAACTCATTACATTAAAGTGGTAGTAAAGTCTGCGTTGTGATTTTTACCTACAGGTAAGCCCATAATAGAGCTTACCTGTAGGTAAAATTAATATCTCCTAAATGTGCACGTTTAGGAGCTGGTGACAACAGCAGCGCATGTGCTCTAAAAGGAACGGTATACCCATGCCGTTCCTTCAGAAAGCTGTACCGCAGCTCCCGCGGGAGTAACGTCATCACTGCTCGGTCATTCAAGCTGCCAGAGCCCTTGAACCCGGAAGGAACACTGTGTGAAGATGGAAGCCCTGTCAGCGGTGACAGCACAATGTTGTAGGGCTTCGATCTAAGGTAAATATTTCATAATGTGCTAGTATGCAATGCTTACTAGCACATCATGCTATTCTAAGATCCACCTGTACGCAAAATCCTAAATTGCAGCTTCCAGTCACTGACACACAGACATGCAGTTATTGACATACACTTCATGTTGGACATACCTCTTAAAGTGTTAAAAAAAAAAAAAAAAAAAAATTACTTTTGCAATTAAAAGAACAAAAAAAAAAAAGTTATATTCACCTGTTCTGTGCAGTAGTATTGTACAGAGCCGCTCCGATCCTCCTCTTCTCGGGTCCCTGGCCAGAGATCTTGGCTTCTCTTTTTGGTGTGTTCCCATAGCAAACTGTTTGCTATGGGGGCACATGGTGTCTGCTCGCTCCCAAGCAGTGTGTCTATGGAGCCGTGCTCCATAAACACACAGTGGGACTTAGCCCAGTCCCCCCCCCCCCCCCCCCCCCACACACTTCATTTAGTTGACAGCAGCAGGAGCCGTTGGTTGTTGCTACAATTTAGGATTTGAGAGAGAAGAGATGCAGCTGTGCACAGCGCTGGATCTATCCTCTCTTTTCCCCCTTCACACAGAGAAGGGGGGAGGACAGAAAAAGAAAAACTTTTTTTTTACCTTAATGCAAGGAATGCATCAAGGTAAAAAAACCTATTTAGCTTTAGTAACACTTTAAATTAAAGCTACAATGTATTTCAATAATGGAGTCTTTAGCACAATTATGGCTGGTAAGAAACCTTAACAAGTTATTGAAAGTCTTTATTCGCTAGCACGTACCATGGGACTGCTAAATGCTGTGTGCTTAGAAAGGATACTGGCCCTCATAGCTTCTGCTCTACTACCAGTCCGCCTGTGGGTCTTGGTACTCTGATTCCGGTGAACTGCTTTTACACTGTGATGGCTGCCATTGCTGTCCCGCCTTGCAAGTGTTGCCATTTTTGCTCCATTATCTTCTTCTTCGGACTCTACCTCCTGATAGGCTGCTAAACGCTTTGCTGTAAAAATAAAGCATAGATGCCGACAAGAATCGAGATCAACAATTTAGGACTATATTTTATAGGGAAGGTAGAGAATGCAAATGTAAAGCAGTAGAAATGATACTTCTTTTTCAACATGTATACTCAAATGTTCCAATTCTATTGACTTGGCTTGGAAACTATAGGGCCTCACACCAAACATGCAGAAGATGTCACCATGCATTGCAGTGCAAGAGGGAGGACATAGAAAACCCATTTACTCATGCCTATGTATATTGCTTATGCTGGAAAATAAAGCAAAATGAAGGCTGAAGTTTAGGTATGGCATTTCTGGACAAATGCAAGTATGTAGGTGCCATACCTGTGGGATCCCCCTAAAAACGGAAAATCAATGTAGTAGGCACCGCTACTACACTGATCCTTGCTAGCTTCTGGGTCCCATGCCAAGCAGCTGCCCCGTTGCTTACAGAACACAGGAGGTCGCTTGCCCGGCACAGCCACCATTGCTTTTTCCCAATGAATAAGTGTGATCTGACCGGACAAAAATAAGTATGCCAACACCGCTCCACCTCATTAAATGTTTTGCATTCATCGAGAAATTGCAAAGAGTTTCCTGAATGGCAGCTGTGTGACCTCCTGTGTTCACAACGCACAGTGCAGGATTAGCGCCAAATAAGAGTGACCTAAAGCTGTACCTATCTAAAAACAAGAGATTTTTTTTTTTTGTATTGTAAATCACCTTGGATTATTCCACAGACTTACTTTGCCTCTGGATTCTTGTCCGATGTTTTATAGGCCTTGCACAAAAATGGTTTCTTTTCAGCATGCTTGGTTATTTGACCGATGGCATAAAGCTGCAGCCACGGCAATTTTCATTCCTGGTCTCCTCCAATACACTGAATTCTTTGTATTTGTTAGATGTGTTTATAGCCTGGCAAAGGGCTAAGGTAAACCCAAAATGGAAGCAGCTTTGTACAAACACACAACACAAAAAATTGCTTTTAACCACTTGCCCTCCAGAAGATTTGCTCCCCTGCGTTACTTTAACTGACAATTGCATGGTCATGCAATGCTGTACATAAGTGAAATTTACGTCTCCCCTCCCCCCCACAAATAGAGCTTTCTTTCTGTGGTATTTGATCACCTGTGTGGCTTTAATTTTCTGCGCTATAAACAAGAGAATTTTGAAAAAAAAACAAAACAAAACAAAAAAAAAAAAAAACATTTATTCATAAATTTAGGCCAAAATGTATTCTGCTACATGTCCTTGCTAAATCAAAATCCCAAAACATGTAAATTAATTGGTTTACGGCAATATATATATATATATATATATATATATATATATATATATATATATATATATATATATATATATATATATATATATATATATATATATATATATATACACACACTGGAATTTTTATTTTATACTAGTAATGGTAACAATCAGCGACTTATAGCGGGGACTGTGGTGGGCATTCTGACACTGGGCGGGAACTGCTACTGCCATCCCCAGTGACACTAATACAGTAATCAGTGCTAATAAAAAGCACTGACACTACTAATGACACTGGGCAGGAAGGGGTTAACACCTGGGGTGATCAAAGGGTTAACTGTGTGCGTTTTACAAGGGAAACATACTGCTGTGTATTTCTTTGCTTTACTGCTGGCAGGACAGAGACCTGTGTTTACACACAGGTGTCTCCCGACAGTTATACTCGATCACTGGTGGGGAATCTCCGGCCGGAACCTGTTGATCGATATCTCTAGCCACCAATGGTGGCTCATATGATGTGTGTGCACACACTTCAAATAAGCATATTTTGTTGCTTTGCAGCCTGAAATGCAAAAATAGACAGTTTTTATTTTATTCAGCTCTATTTAGTGCAACTTATGACATCCAAGTGAAATGATAATACCAACCTGCCAGAAAAAAAAAAAAAAATAATAATTTCAAACAAACATTCCGCTCCTAAAAATGATTTGTAAAACGCAATCAAGTATAGCTAATCACCTTCTCAATGACACACAAAGCCATTTGTCTTTCAAGTGTGATCAGCTGTACTCATTTTGATTAGCTCATCATAAAAAGATTTCCTTGAGAATTTCAGTCCTTGGTAGTGCAACTGAAGCAAACAATCAACTATGGGTGGCAAGGCACTGTCAAAATATCTCCAGGATAAATCTGTGGACAGGCCCAAGTCAGGAGATGGATATCAAAAAATTTTAAAGGCTTTATCAATGAATCAAAGTGCAGTCTTATTAAGAAGTGGAAGGTATTTGGTACAACACAGACCCTCCCTGGATCAAGACATCACTCCAAACTGGATGAATAAACCAAGCGGAAACTGGTCAGAGAGGCTACCAAGAGGCCTACAGCAACTTTTTCTTTGTTTACAAATGATTTTATTTTTCAAGGGTAGACTGTAGAACAACCGTACAGTTTCAAGTAATGTGTACATTAATAACAAGGCACATTTGAAAAGTACATTTCAGAAGAGTACATATACGTAAAAAAAGATAGATAGGGAGGAAAAAGAAAGAGAAAAGATTTTAAGTACATGAGGAATGTATATGATAAAGTGAGTTGAAAGATACATCTGTCAATAGCATATGCCAAATAACCTTCAAACAGAATGCTTTTCAGTCATGTAATGAATGTCTATGAACCCTTCATGATTCCCATTTTTTATCAAACAAGTGCATCTTGTCCAGCAAAGTATAATGAATACGCTCCATGAGCATCACAGCGTCAACTCTATGTAAAACAGAGGCCAAGGGTACCGTGGTGGATTTCCAATGTAGGGCAATAGCCCATAAAGTGGCAATACAAATGGTATGTATCAATCTCATAACAGCATCAGAGGCCCCCGGGATATGAGCTCCCAGTAAACAGGACTGTATAGTCAGACGTACCGGGGCACCTACCAAGGAAGCAGCTACCTCCGATATCCTACGCCAGACCAAGGATATAGTTGGGCAAGCCCAAAACATGTGAACCAAGGTACCTGTGAGGCCACAGCCCCGGAAACATAAAGGGGACGTTTGAGGGTACAGTACATGAAGTCTTGATGGGGTATAATACCATCTGGTTAATACCTTGAGGGCAGTCTCACGGACAGAAAGATCTCGAACTCTTACATATGTTATCCACCATGGAATCCCACTCCTCATCTGAGAAAGTGATACCACTATCCTCCTCCCATCTTTGTCTAAATAAAGGGGGTGTGGGAGAGAAACTGATCAAAAATTGATAAAGATCTGAGATAAGACCCCTACCTCTAGGAGAGTCATGGCTAATACGTTCAAAGAATGAGATCGGAGAGGGGGTATGAGGCCAAAATGTGACTGAAAAAAATGTCTAATCTGTCGATAACAATGGTACTCGCGAAGCGGAACCTCAAATTTCTACTCGCAGCATATCAAAATTAATATAAGATCCTCCCCTTTGAAAATCAGATAATCTAATAAGAGATCTATCATACCAACGAAACGTTTGAAGGGAAGAAAATGCCGTAATAAAGTTTGGAGCACCAAAAAACGAAACACCCGGAGAAACAGAAGAGACCAGATTTAATTTATGTGTATATATGGACCAAAGTGTCAATGAATGGGTAACTATAGAGTTGTGAAAAGTGAACGATCGAGGGGGGGATTTTAGACCACAAAATACCCGGTAAATAAAATGGGTGTATAGACTGAGATTCAAATCTAATCCACGTGATCTGAGAATTTACAGTCGTCCATTGTCATAATTGTGCAAAATGGGCTGAGAGGTAATATAGCCAAAAATTGGGAAGACCTAGACCTCCCGTCCGTTTTGAGCAATACAGAACAGATGTGGTAAAGCGTGGACATTTATTACACCAGAAAATTAATAACCCACTGAAAGTGATCCAGAAATGTTTTGGAGACCGGGACTGGAAGTGCTCTAAATAAAGTAGTTTGAGCAGAATATTCACCTTGACCGCCGTGACTCTACCCAGAAAGGAAATGGGGTAACCATGCCTAACCTTCAGTAGAGTAGAAAGGCGCGACACACATGGTGGGTAATTAGCAGCAAATATATCTGAGTATCTGGGAGTGAGATTGATACCTAAATAGGAAATCCGATCCGTGGCCCAACGAAATAAAAAAAAACTACGGAGAGATGCACTTAGGGAATCAGGAATAGGCCTACAGCAACTTTGAGGCAGTTGCAGGAATTTATGACAAACAGTGGTCATTGTGACATGTGACAATAATATCAGAAATTCTCTACAAAATGTAACTTGTATGGAAGGGTCGCAAAGAAAAAAAAAAAAAAAAAAAAAAAAAAAAAAAGCAACTCCTCAAGAAAGGCTACATGCAGCTGCTTGACAAAGGAGGTGGAGCTTCTGAAACGCATTGCAGCCCACCCTCTTTCCATTCACGCACCTGTCACTTCTCCCTACTACCGGCGGGAAGGCACAGAGAAGCCGTGGAGTCCACCGCAGCGGGTCTCTCCTCGGACCATGCACTGATAATCAGCTTCACTCTTCTGGTGCCCCTAGCTCCACTGTCCCTACCTGTTAGACACATCGAGGGAGTTTAAGATGTAAGTGTTTTTATCCATGCTGACCTGGCACCCTGCTCGTTGTTCCTTTGCATACTTCGGTGGGATCCCCCCCCCCCCCCCATCCTTAGCAAGGAGCTGACGGTCTGTTTGTGTGTCTCTTCAGCTTCCACAGTCCATCCCCCTCCCATTCTGCACATCACTTGGATGGACTTACTGACTGCCATATCCTGGTCACACCAGCGTTCGCCCAGAATCTTGTCCTCACTTCACTCAACCCTGTGGACTGGCTCTATTTTATTTATCCATTCATCCTTTCCATCCTCTGTGCGAGCACTTGATATGATTGTTCACTGTATTAGATCATCATATGTACTATAGAAGGAAAAATGGATGGGGCAAAATACCGCCAAATTCTTGAGAAAAATCTGCTGCCCTCTGTCAGAATGTTGTCAATGGGAAGAAGGTGTACCTTACAACACGACAATGACCCAAAGCACACAGCAAAAATGACCAAACTGAAAAAGAAAAAAAGGTGAATGTCCTTGCATGGCCTAAATCAGAGCCCAGACATATTCCACTGAAAATCTGTGGAATGACTTGAAGACTGCAGTCCACAAAAACTGTCACCATCAAATTTGACTGAACTTGAGCAGTTCTGCAAAGAGTGGGCAAATATTGCAAAGTCTAGATGTGGAAAGTTAGTAGAGACATATCCCAACAGACTAAAGGCTGGAATTAAAGCAAAAGGTGCTTTAAAAAAATACTGACACAAGGGGGTGATCTTATTTCCAACTCCGCAAATAAGGCTCGACAAAACAAAAAACGGAGTCTTCATTTTAGGCTGCAAAGCAACAAAGTGATTTTAAAGAGGGGAGATTCTTTTCTATACCCTCTCTGCGTGTGTGCGCGTGTGTACGATAGAGGTATCTGTGTGTAAAATATTATACATACACACCCCTCATTGAGCAGATCCAATGCAAATAAGCTTTAATAAAGTTTACAGTACATTGCCTGAATATCAGTGTTCCTCGTTTTGCCATGTTCCAAGTGTGCCAAGGTCACGTCATTGGGATTAAACACTCCCCAAATTACAACTTTTCCATGCGCAGAAATGCATCAGTAGTTGGGAAAAACATTTCCTGGTGAGAATTTAATGCTGCTGACATGAAAAATGGGGTACCAACTAATGCACTTCCATATTTATTGCTGCAGCAGCAATGTCTAATAATAAAGCTCTGAGCCAGCACAGCCCTGCTTTGGCAGTGAGAAAAGTAAAACAGATGCCCATCTCACGGGGCACTGGAGTGCGCAAGAGAAAACCAACAGCTGAAACATTAGTTGCACAGATGGCTCTGTTTTGTGGATAGCAGGGATGCTCATGGTAGCTTGCTACACATTTGTCCCACAAATTGAATCCCTAATGTGAATGGGGAAATGAAGGTTTTCATCATTTAAGGTTGCCTAAGGCTTTTTTGCTATTCTAGACTTGCTCAGATTTTATTGTAAAGGATAATGACAACTTGCGTAAAACTGAACCTGCTCAGGAACAAAATGTTTTTGTTTACAGTGACGATATTTCTTTTTTCTAGACCTTCACTGTACCATGATTGATAAAAGCCAATGTTAAACTCCATCAAAAAAAAAAAAAGAAAGAAAAAAAAAAAAAAAGTGTTTTTTATCTATGCAGCCTTGGCTGAGAGTCATTAAAAAAACTCAGAGGATGGAAAAGTTAGAGTCTGCATAAAGAACGTGTTTCAGGTAAACCAGATTTGGTTTTAAATATATGTCAAGCACTGCCATAATATGGAAACTGTTATAGGTATAATTGGTTTAGTCTGTATTTTAGTATTAGACTGTATATTTTCAACAGAATGTGTTAATTGTAATGCTTGCACCTACAAGAAAAAAAATAGGACTTGTGTTACACAGTCAGTTTTGGTCTTACAAGTGCATTTTCAGGCCAGCTCCCCAGTCCTAAATTCACATTGTTTCTGTCTGGTAAATCAGAGGTTCACTCTCTCTCAGCATGGATTTGAACATTTATGCTGCCAGCATTAGTAAATAGATTATGAAAAACATTTACTTGTTTTAAAATGTGTGTTTTTTTACATTTCTTCAGTTACTGCCTAGTTTCTATGCATAGGCAAATGATATACATCCCAAGAGTCTTCAGGATGGGTTTTCACAGCTAAGCACACCCTCCTGTCTGCATGCTTGAGCTAAGAGCAGACAGATTCCAGGAAGTAAATGCTGAATGAATCATCTGCCTTTACTCAAGATGGCTACAGCCAGAAATGCTATGGGGTGTTTTTCACAGTGATTTCTCAGCAAAATAAAGCACTGAGACAAAAAAGGATGAGAGAGTTTGCTCTGAACATTACAAATTACAGTACCTTGAAAGTATTCATACCCCTTGACATTACCCACATTTTGTCATGTTACAACCAAACACGCAAAATGTATTTTTTGGGGATTATATGTGATAGACCAACACAAAGAGGCTCATAAAATTGTGAAGTGGAAGGAAAATGATAAATGGTTTTAAAATTTTTTTTACAAATAAATGTGAAAAGTGTGGCGTGCATTTGTATTCGGCCCCCTTTACTCTGATACCCCTAACTAAAATCTAGATGAACCAATTGCCTTCAGAAGTCATCCAATTAGTAAATAGAGTCCACCTGTGTGCAATTTAATCTCAGTATAAAATAGAGCTGTTCTGTGAAGCCCTCAGAGGAACATTAGTGAACAAACAGCATCATGAAGGCTGAGGAAAACATCAGACAGGTCAGGGATACAGTTGTGGAGAAGTTTAAAGTAGGGTTAGGTTATATATATATAAAAAAAAAAAATCCAAGCTTTGAACCTCTCACGAAGCACTGTTCAATCCATCATCTGAAAACAGAAAGAGTATGGCACAACTGCAAAACCTACCGAGACATGGCTGTCCACCTAAAGTGACAGGCCAGGCAAGGAGAGCATTAATCAGAAAAGCAGCCAAGAGGCCCAAGGTAACTCTGGAGGAGCTGCAGAGATCCACAGTTCAGGTGGGAGAATCTGTCCACAGGACAACTATTAGTCTTGCACTCACAAATCTGGCCGTTATGGAAGAGTGACAAGAAGAAAGCCATTGTTGAAAGAAAGCCATAAGAAGTCCCGTTTTCAGTTTGGGAGAAGCCATGTGGGGGACACAGCAAACATGCGTAAAGTTGCTCTGGTCAGATGAGACCAAAAATTAAACTTTTTGGCCAAAAAGAAAAAAATGCTATATCTGGCAAAAAACAAACACTGCACATCACCCTGAACACTTCATCCCAATCGTGAAACATGGAGGTGGAAGCATGTTGTGGGGATGCTTTTCTTCAGAAGGGATAGGGAAGCTGGTCAGAGTTGATGGGAAATACAGGGCAATCTTAGAAGAAAACCTGTTAGCCTGAAAAAGACTTGAGACTGGGGCGGAGGTTCACCTTCCAGCATGACAACGACCCTAAACATACAGCCAGAGCTACAATGGAATGGTTTAGATCAAACCATATTCATGTGTTAGAATGGCCCAGTCAAAGTCCAGTTCTAAATCCAATTGAGAATCTGTGGCAAGACTTGAAAAGTTATGCTCTCCATCCAATCTGACAGAGCTTGAGCGATTTTGCAAAGAAGAATGGGCAAAAAGGTCACTCTCTAGAGGTGCAAATATGGTAGAGACATCCCCAAGAAGACTTGCAGCTGGAATTGCAGTGAAAGGTGAATCTACAAAAAAGGATTGACTCAGGGGGGCCAAATACAAGCCACACTTTTCAGATATTTGTAAGAAATGTTGAAAACCATTTATCATTTTCCTTCCACTTCACAATTATGTCCCACTTTGTGTTGGTCTATCACATAAAATCCCAATAAAATACATTTACGTTTTTGGTTGTAACATGAAAAAATTCATACCCCTTGAAATTTTCCCAAGGCACTGTGAATAGTGCTTTTGGTTTGTGGTGCTCAGATGCAGTACAGTTCCACTTTAACGTCATCTGAGCTTTTCTTTTTTTGGGGGGGGGGGGGGGGTTATAATTTGCATTGTAATATAACAAACTGCAGACTACGAGTGCATGCTATGTAGACCGGCCATTTACTGTATATATTACCAGGCCGATTCCAACTGAATGAGCCTCTACAGTGACCCAAAAAAGCCTTTGTATTCACCAGCTGTTGGTAACACAGTAGCAAAAGGTGAATGCACTGGATGCATAAATCCTCAGGCCCTATTCAAACCTGAATTTTAGGTGACATGCTTTAAACAAAAGGCCCTGCATGCTGCATCTTTGATGCTCTTTCATCAAAATGCACATGCAAGATCAATGGTAGTGCACTTAAAAACATATCTCAAACACAATGTACCAAAACAGATGTGACCCAGCCCTTCAAACTAAAGTCCTATGAAATACTAATCCATGCTATACAGAGTTTAGGTAGATATTGGTAGGCTACGCCACATATTGGTTTTAAATGTTTCTTGGGAAGACCAGAGATCTCTGCAATTGCAAAGCCCCTTAGTACCTCTTGCCATTGACAGAGAAGGGTACTCTTGCATTGTTTGTCAAGTTTTTATTGCCGGATGGAGCATGCAGCAGGAGAAGTGAGGCTCCACTATGATTCAGTGCCAAGTAAACAACTCTAGCCACAGATCTTGCTGATGAAGTTCCCAAGTGCTAAAGAGGAAATTGAATGAATCGGCAAATATTTGTCCATTCAGAAACTCACAAGCACAGCATGCAGAAGAGTTTGCTACACAAAAATGTATTTCATCAATAGCTGACAGGAGTGTTATTACTCTTTCAGAACTGGAAGGTTTCTATTTAGAAACCACATACGCCAAGGTTCATCCACAGCAGTAAAGCAAGTGTCATAATGATCTCATACTAAAAAACAACTGTCTTTATGGTGGGCACACTTGCACATTGTTCACAAAAGTGCTCCATGCAGAAGGACCAAAGTGTAGGTGGACAAAGACGAGAAACGAGGACCATGATGACCTGGATTGTTTGTTTTTGAAACCAAAAATAAATGTGCAGAAGCCAAAAAGTTATCTTACCATTGGCATCATGAGAATACTCTATTCCAGAAACTGTGCAGCGTCTGAAGACCATTTTATTCTCGGTTAGTGTTCCAGTTTTGTCTGAGAATATATACTGTATCTGACCTAGGTCCTCAGTGATGTTAAGGGCACGGCACTGTAGGCGCGAGTCTGTTTCTTCATCATACAGGTCTTTATCTTGATGAATAAAATAAACTTGGCAGATTTTAACAATTTCAATGGAAACGTACAGAGACACTGGGATGAGCACCTGCCATTAAGTAAATAAAATGAAAACATGAATTTAGTATAGCTTTTCCTTCAATAGCAAATGGGACCTTCAATAGCAAATGGACAAAAAAAAAAAAAAAAAAAAAAAGACTCCAAGCCAAAATTATTATTCCAATAGTGAAGCAAGGCAAGAGAAGCAAGTATACAAATTAACACATACCCTACAAAACTGCCCCATACTGTGGCAGGAGGAGGAACCTAATTGGGTCAGGTTTATGTCTGAAGAACCCTGCTTCCTGACAGCCAAGCTTCTTGGAGGATATGCCAGTTCACAAATGACCCAGCTACATAGAATGACAGGTTAACCAGCTTGCTATGGGGGCACCGCTGCTCAGTGTGTCCATTCACACACAGAGCCGTGACTTGACCACGCCCTCCCTCTCTCCTTATTGGCTCACTGGCTGGGATAGAATGCATGAAGGTAAAAAAATCTTGAACCTTTACAACTACTTTAAGAGCAGATGTTGGCAATAAAAAAAGGTATAATTTCTACATAACTAAAAAGGTTTTATTTTTTTTTTTTATTTATTTAATGCAAAATAGTGCATACATGTACACTTGCAAAACAATGTGTCTTGTGGATTTCTTAGATGTTCCAGCTGCCGTGCAAGCATAGCTGAGAACCTGGAATTCTGAATAACCTGTCTTTAGCTTTGCTGGCTGAACAGCTTGGAGCTAATAAAAATATATACTTTTTTAGAATGTTGCCTAACATTGCTACCATTTGAGAGAAGGGACACGGACGGGAAGTTCTCTACCTTTATCACCTCCCGTTAATGCTGATGAATAGATTACAACATGAAATATGCAGAACACGAAAAATGGAATTTAAAAAAAAAAAAAAAAAAAAAAAAAAAAAAAATCGGCAAGTATGCATGCACAATTTTTAACTTTTAACCTCAGTTTGCCATTTACAAAAAAACAAGTCAATTTAGACATGCTTTCAGTAAAATCAACTGATGATCCCTTATTAACTGCTTTCAAAGCGGGCACTTTCACCCCCTTCCTGCCCCGGCCATTTTTCAGGTTTCAGTGCTCTCACACTTTGAATGACAATTGCGCGGTCATACAACATTGTACCCAAACTAAAATTTTATCATTTTCTTCACACAACTAGAGCTTTCATTTGGTGGTATTTAATCACTGCTGGGGTTATTTTGTTGCTAAATTAACAAAAAAAAAAAAAAAAAAAACCAAAAAATTTTGAAATAGAAACCCCACGTTTTTCTTTGTTTCTGTTATAAAAGTTTGCAAATAAATAATTGTTCTTCATAAATTTAGACCAAGATGTATTCTGCTACATGTCTTTGGTGAAAATAACCCAAAATTAGGATGTATTATTTAGTCTGTAGGAAAGTTAGAGAGTTCAAACTATGGGATAGATCTGAATATTGATCAATCCTGAAGTACTGATGGCCAATCTAATTTCCTGAGGTCCAAGAATGTCAGAACAGTACAGATATCCCCCAAATGACCCCTTTTTGCAAAGTAGACAGTCCGACGTATTTCATAACAGGCATGGCGAGTTTTTTGAAGTTGTAATTTTTTTTGTCATAGTTTTTTGGAAAATAAAAAATGATTTTCACTTTTTTTTAACATACTGTCACCAGTGCAGTAGAGCGTCATAACTGGCATGGCCGTGATCAGGGACAATGACTGGTGACAGTATGAAAAAAAAAAAATTGATAATTTTTTTTTTATTACTTTCGCTTTTAAGATTTTTTTTCATATTTCACTATGACCAAAGTAGTATAATGTTACCATAGTAACATTGTACTATTTTGGGGAAGTGATCAGTATTTTTTAAATATATATATTTTTTTTTACTTTGCTATAAGCAAGCAAATAGATTCATTCAGGATTTTTTTTTCTTAACTGTTTTGGCCACAGCTAATCACATGACACAGCTGGGCTGTGATTGGCTTAGCTTGTGCATGTGATCGCTGTGACCATTCACAGCTAGCCACACTTGTATACAATGGCTGGCATGAAAGGAAGGCATCCATTGTATACAACTGTCATGTGACTGGCTGTGATTGGTCACATGGTACCGGCAAACGGGGCCGGTACACAGATCTGTCATCGGCTGTGTCCGAGGTACACGGCCGGTGACAGATCGCGCCGCTGCGCGGCACTGCGGACAGGCAAACTGCGCATGCCTGAAAGGACGCCATATGGCGTTCACCCGGAGGGACGAGGTGTTTTGCCGGCCAAATAAATATAGGGGAAACCTCCTGCGCTCAAGTCTAATAAACTTAAAATATGTTGCTACACCTGCACCTTATTACCTAAAGTGGAAAAGCATAAATACAAACAATTGGTGTAACGCTCTCTAGCAAACAAAAACCTAAAACTCTAAACACAGAATAATAATGTGACAAATGGTAAAACAAGCAGTGAAAACCTCACAACAAAAAAAGGTAAGTATTGAATATGTCACAAAAAAGTGCAACACAAAACACAATATTGAATATATAGTGAAAAATAATACTGTGCCCCCAACACTGGAAGATATAACTTACATGAACAGTGACAAAGTGCTCCGTGTCAACACAAGGAGGCGAGGAGCAAATCTAGTTGTGTGTGGAGTCATCACCAGAGCCTACAGAAATTTAAACGTACAAGATTCACCTGCATGTTATATAACTTATTGTTGTGGACACTGGTGTCACGTATCATTTTATATACACATTTAATTTCTGTGTGAGGCATTCATTTATCATATTCACCATGTATTGATTTTCATGACGGTTTTAGTGGTTTATATATTGGTATTGATTTTAGTGTGTTGACACGGAGTACTTTGTCACTGTTCATGTAAGTTTATATCTCCAGTGTTAGGGGCACAGTATTTTTCACTATATATTCAATATTGTGTTGCACTTTTCTGTGACATATATTCAATACTTACCTTTGTTGTGAGGTTTTCACTGCTTGTTTCACCATTTGTCAGATTATCATTCTGTGTCGAGTTTTAGGTTTTTGTTTGCTAGAGAGCGCTTACACCAATTGTTTGTATTTGTGTTTTGCCCTTTGCCGCCATCTGGCTATAGGTTGCCGAGCGGGGAACCTGTTCATATTTGCTTTGTTTTTCATGAAATGAAGATTTAAGAATTGAAACATATGCTTAAAATTACAGCATTTTATCAGAAGATTGTTTTTAAAAGGTTACCTGTAAAACAATGATCATAGTAAAAAATAAATACACCGCAGAAAGCAGGGGCTTCACATAATTTCCATCAGTTCCAAGGACATCAAACACCGGTCTCTTCTCTCCATACTGCCATACCCATAGTGCATGACCTGTCCAAAAAAAAAAAAGTAAAATAGAAGTGAAATATATCTTTACTAGAGATGCTTCCTACAGTAATGAGGTGGACTGGGGCATACAGTAACAAAAATTGCCATTACCCTTCTTTTACTATGAAGCAATTTAGCACAGGAAGGGTAGGTGAATTGGGAAAGAGCAGGTGTTTCTTAAACTTTTTTTTTTAAACGAGGACTTAAAATCAGAATGATAAAAGCCACTGTTTGGCATAATGTAGCCAATAACACACTCAATCAGGATTTTTTTTTTTTAGCTTTTCTTTTATACTCACCGACTAGCTACATGTATTTTAGCTGATCACCCCATACCCTTTCCTACTTATGACGGGTCACCATGTGGTTTCATATCTTTGGGTGTCGTTACCTCATTGAAGAAAATGCCTGATCAGGATCTGCAGCAGGTAATTTAGTGGCATATGCATTCTCTTAGGTAAAGTAATTAAAAACACCAAACCTAATTGAGCAGGATAGACAGCTAATATAGTACAATGTTCAGTAATGATCATACAGTTGGGTACTGGATAACAAGATTTCTGGATATCCTGGAAAAACCAGCTGTACCTAGCCGTGCTTCTTGGCCATCAGCTGTAAAGAAATATACATATGACTATTTAGATTATAAACTGGTTCTCTGCTCCCTCTTGAATCGTATTGTAACTGTACTGTTTCCCTTTTTTTTTGTAAAGTGCTGTGCAAACTGTTGGCGCTTTATGAATCATGTATTATAAAATGACTAAGTAAGAAACATACTGAATAAATAAATTTTAGAGCTATACCAGAAATAGAATTTCTAAATAAAAATGTTAATTAAAAAGTAGAGACACCAATTACATACATGCTTTTACTCTATGTTTCAAAAAACAAATCTGTCCAGCTACAAAAATGACCGAATCTAGTCAGATACATTAGGAGATCATGCACCAACTGTGTACAGAACGTCTCTAAGTTGCCATATTGCATTTTACAGAAAAGTGCTGCAGATCCTCTCCCCCAGACGGTCAATGCTGCTGGTCTACTGTGCCACCTGTGCTCATTCATCCAGAATGGGGGCACTATGATACAGGTGGTGTTTACTGGCCAGATCACCAGGTGAAAAACCAGGAAAAAGCATAAAGAAAGAAAACGAATGCAGCCACCACATATGCATATGTCACTAAAGGATGTGTGCATACTACTATATCTGCTAGCCCATCAAAACACTGTAGAGATTAAGGCATGAGCTCCAGTTGCTCAAGGACAGAGAGATCTGTTAGGATAGATCAAGGATCCTGGTACACACCCTTGGATGAAACAGCTATGTTCTAGCAGATGCAAATGGCAGGTTGCAGAAAAAAAAAGATCTGCAAGGGAGAACAAGGCCATAGAAAAGAGCTTCTAGGTCTTTAAACATAGGGATGTCCTCAACAGAGCAGTTGTTTGAAAACCTCTTTTCCATAGATTATAGCTGGGCAAAACTCTTAGGAGGAATAAAGACCTTTTGGAGTCTGACTATGGAGGAGAGGTCAATAAACCAAGAATGTGGGCCCAAACGCTGATTCCGCCATCATGGCAACAATTTTGCCCATACACCAAGACATCATAACTGAGAATTCTTCCATAGACAATAATCCAGGAAAAGTTAAAAGGGAAAGCTGTAACTCAAGTAGAGGATTGCATTGTAGCCTATAGGTGTCACGTTATTGAGAAGCTACATTGCAAGGCCTCCTAGAATGGTTAGAGGATCATATGCTGGCAAAAAAAAAAAAAAAAACACACACACACACACACACACACACACACACACACACACACACACACACACACACACACACACACACACACACACACACACACACACACACACACACAACACCTGCGCCTGAGCTTGTGACCTGGCATACTAAGCATGTAAGTGAGTGATTCCTACAGGGGGTGCTCACAACAATGCTGCAGAAGGGGTTAATGCGATGTGACTAATCACTGGAGACAGAGCAGCCCAAGTGCTGAAGGCTGCCATTTCCATAGTGCGCAAGGATTGGTATTGCGCAGTGTGACCCTCAGGAAGGAGGCCATGCGAACTCAACAGGAACACCCAGGAGAAGCATGTCATAATGATGCCATTATTTAAATATAATGCAGTTCTGAATCCCAAACCTGACTTATGACCAAAAAGGTCAAAACCAGCACTAGACCCCGATATAAATCTGAGCCAGAGTGCCTCTCTTGCTGATGGGCAGCAACTGAAAGCATTGCAGCTGGAACCACACCAAAAACAAACCTAGAGCAGTGTTGCCAGGCAGGATCCAGGGGATATGCTCCATCCAAAATGTATTTGCACCAAGGGGAAACCCCCTATGGCTTCTTCAGGGACAGGCCTCCACAAGCAGGTGCAGCACCTTGTGGCTAACGTAACTCATTGCAATAGGTGCTTGCCTAGAACCTGTGGTGCAAAGTCCAGTGTCAAAAGTTACACAACAGGCCGAGCTTGATTTTTCTCAGAGATCTGAGTACGCCTCTCAAAAGGCAATGCTGAGGATCAATTGATCTGGAAGACTGCAAAATAAGCAGCTTCTGGTTCTGTGGCAACCAAAGAAACTGCCGAGATGAAAACAAAATCTTGATTGAAAACTAGATGTTTTTCTCAGAAGACAGAAGTCATCTATTCTTTTAAAGACACAAAAAAACTGAGGTATGCTGGGAGTGGAAGGGGTTAACACAGGGGTGTCCTTACAGCTATATTTTGCCAGCGGCTAATGCCCTGAAGGCAGTAGCATAACCCAATGCACCTAAATACCTTATCCTGTGTCCCACAATTTAGGATTACGAGTTGTTGAATACAAAACATAATACCTAATGTGTAAATACACTTAATAAATCAAAATATTCACCAATCACAGTGTGTATTGTTAATCTTATGCACCCTGCGTATCGGTTTTTACATTTTTTTGAATAGTAAAACATGCCAGGACAGAGCACGAGTTCCATGTCAGTGTAAAAAAAAGGTGCCATTACAGCACCTGTCAAAAACATGCAGAGTCATGGCTATGCCCATGAATGATTTAAGGAAAGATGCCAGACAATACAATTGAAAGAACTACGGTCTTTAGAAAAATATTCCAAAAAAAAAAAAAAAAAACTCTTCCAATCCTGAAGACTGTATACATCATTTAAAGAGACTGTCCACAGCAAAAACAGGATAGAGAGATGGGAAGTGCAGTAACATTTAGCAGATGAAGCATAAATGAAAAGAAATGCTTACCTACAGCAGAGAGCAGGCACATAATTAAGAGAATTAGCACACACCAAAAAACATCTGTGTTCATTTGTCTCTCAAGTTTACTACGTTTATAGCGAGGTCCGTTGTTGTTCAACAAAGCTTTGGTTTCATGACCTATAAATATTGCACCAGGAAAAGAAAAGAAGAAATTATCCATGAAGATTAAATTCCCACTTTTAAACTCAAGTGGCCAGATAATATTTTTGCTAATTTTTCAGAGTTTTATTTTTCCCTTACATATATTTTTTTTTTTATTATATACGTACATACAGTGCTTTGAAAAAGCATTCATACCCCTTGAATTTTTCCCCATTTTTGTCATGTTACAACCAAAAACATGACATGTGTTTTATTGGGATTTTATCTGATAGACCAATGCAAAGTGGCACATAATTGTGACGGAAAAATTATAAATGGTTTCCCCCCGGAGTCAATACTTTGTAGAACCACCTTTCGCTGCAATTCTAGCTGCAAATCTTTTTGGGGATGTCTCTACCAGCTTTGCACATCTAGAGAGTGAAATTTTTGCCCGTTCTTCTTTGCAAAATAGCTCAAGCTCTGTCAGATTGGATGGAGAGCGTCTGAACATTAATTTTCAAGTCTTGCCACGGATGCTCAATTGGATTTAGGTCTGGACTTTGACACATGAATATGCTTTGATCTAAACCATTCCATTGTAGCTCTGTTGGAAGGTGAACCTCCACCCCAGTCTCAAGTCTTTTGCAGACTCTACCAGGTTTTCTTCTAAGATTGCCCTGTATTTGGCTCCATCCATCTTCCCATCAACTCTGACCAGCTTCGATTTTGGTCTCATCTGACCAGAGCACCTTCAACATGTCTGCTGTGTCGTGAAGAAAGCCATTGTTGAAAGAAAGCCATAAATCGTCCAATTTGCAGTTTGCGAGAAGCCATGCAGGGGACACAGCAAACGTGGAAATGGTGCTCTGGGGTCAGATGAGACCAAAATTTAACATTTTGGCCTAACAGCAAAACGCTATGTGTGGCCGAAAACCAACACTGCACATCACCCTGAACACACCATCCCCACCATAAAACATGGTGCTGGCATCATGTTGTGGCAATGCTTTTCCTCAGCAGGGACAGGGAAGCTGGTCAGAGTTGATGGATGGAGCCAAATACAAGGCAATCTTAGAAGAAAACCTGTTAAGAGTCCAGCAGGACAACCACCCTAAACATACAGCCAGAGCTACAATAGAATGTTTTAGATCAGGGGCCTATAAACTTTCTAAACAAAGGGCCAGTTTACGGTTCTTCAAACTTTAGGAGGTCCAGACTGTGGCCAGCTGGAGTAGAGAATATATATCTTTGAAAGTGGGACTAAACACTGCCCCATTGTTGGTGCCAGTGGGAGGAATAGGGCCCAGTCGGTGCCAGTGGGAGGAATAGTGCTCCGTTGTTGGTGCCAGTGGGAGGAACTATGCTCCACTGTTGCGGACAGTGGGAATAATAACCCAAGGACCAGATAAAAGCAAGCAAAGGGCCGTATCTGGCCCCCGGGCCATAGTCCAGACATAAATCCAATTGAGAATTTGTGGCAAGACTTGAAAACTGATGTTCACAGACGCTCTCCATCCAATCTGACAGAGCTTGAGCTATTTTGCAAAGAATGGTCAAACATTTCACTCTCTAGTTGTGCAAAGCTGGTAGAGACATCCCCAAAAAGACTTGCAGCTGGAATTGCAGTGAAAAGGTGGTTCTACAAAGTACTGACTCAGGGGGCTTAACACAAAATGCATGCTACACTTAAGAGATTTGAAAAAAAAAAAAAAAAAAAAAAAAAAAAAAAAAAAAAAAACACATTTATCATTTTCCTTCCACTTCACAATTATGTGCCATTTTGTGTTGGCCTATTACATAAAATCCCAATAAAATACATTTACGTTTTTGGTTGTAAAAAAAAAAAAAAGTTGAAAGTTTCCAGGGGTATGAATACTTTTTCAAGGCACTGTATTGTTTTGTTCAGCAGAGTCTGCTGAACAATTCTGCTATAGTGTCATGAGCTTGTAGCAGGAGGAGGAATATCAGGTCCGTACGGCGTATAGACCTGGTCAGCTGAAAGCAGTGTTGTAGGTTGTTATGCTGTACTGACCTGGCAGTGAAATGGTCAAAGGAGATGTGTGGGATAGCAAGAAAACAAAATATACTAACCGATTTTTTCAAACTGAGCTGGGCCACCAGTGTCCCCCACAGAGCAAACAATTTACACAGTGTATGGCCAGCTTAAGCCCCGAAGACAATGATCACCAGAACAAGTGGGAGGTAATTCTACCCATAAAAAGGGACACAGCGCAATAAAAACCTGAGGACATTCTAACTTCTCTATCCAAAATGGAAACTTTCCAAGGTTTTAACATGCATCTACATAGACCTTCATTGTGCATTTCCAAGGCGGCAATTTAAGTCTTATGGAAAAGCTCATATTCACATGGTCACATAAAATAGCTTACATGATTCTTGGTCTGCATTCCCCCCCCCCCCCCCCCCAAAAGTGGTGTGCATTTCTTTCACAGCTGAAAGGTTAGTATGAATCAGTACCTGCATAGACAACAATGCCAGAGACGACCTCTGTGTTCCGCAGAGTACAGCCACGTAACAGGAGATTTTCTTTGTGAAGACCAGATTTCTTTCCATTTTTATGAGCCCTAGAATATGAATGCGGGGCATGTCATAAAGACAACATCTCAGGAAACCCTATCATAATATATCCCACAAACTAACAACTCTAGTTTTTCAAGCCTATATGTGCTGCAAGTCTTGCAAGACATGGATTATTAAAATAGAGAACTGTTGCAAACAATCCCCATTGTTCAGTAAAGCACTATAGTCAGCTAAATCAGCTCACATGTGCCGGAGCATTAGTAGCATCAGGAGGAATCTCCTGCTCCATGGTGCTGATAGCACCTTTTTCCGACTGCCCTGTATTCGTGGCACACTGTATTTAGTCTATATTCCACAATATACTGTATTTTACAGACTGAAAACCGATCTGTAAAAAAAAAAAAAAAAAAAAAAAAAAAGTGAGAGAGAAAACAGTGTACCAAGAATAGAGATGCATCCTTCTCTGCTCTCTTCCAACAGCCTTTGCTCTGCACATCCAAGTGATTTTGTTACCACTGCTTATATCATTTCATCATAATGTATCCAGCAGGCTAAACCTTTCCTTGACACAATTTGGTAATATTTCACCACCGCTGGAAAAAAGGTAAAATGATAATGCAGGCATTACAGTGGTCTATTAAAATATGTGCACCTAAATCTCCTGACACTAGAAGTTATAGGCAGCAGTGCCTTAGCTCTCACACTGCAGATATACAACTATGAGGAGGCGGTAGGCACACTCGCATACCAGGAAGCGCACTGCTATTTTTCTGGAGGCATTTCCGACAAAGGGTTAATTATGAGTTCTAGATGTTCCTTAAAACGCAGTTTAGGTTCACTTCATCTGAAAACTATGTCACTACGTTTTTAATTAGAGAGCCCTTTGCTGGAATTTACAATTGTCCTTTAAATGTTCCATCATCACATAAAAACTAGTAGATGGGATGACTACTTAATATTAATTGATATTTACACTGCAGCATATATTCCAGCTGGAAAGAGACATGAACTGCCACATATGCTACTAATTAATTTGTTTTGTTTGCTTTGTTGACCATTTGATACTACTTTGGTTAGCAGCGGCATCCAAAGCGCAAATATCTAGCTATACACCAATCAAAAAAAAAAAAAAAAAAAAAAAAAAGTTCAGAAACATTTGCCTCTGGAAAGTTAATAAATTGTCAAATTTACATTTGACAAAGATGCACTAGGATTCAAGGCTCCTGGCAAAGGAATCTCCTTTTTCAGCCCATTTCCCAGAGCACACCCCCATCTATTGGTCCATGCCCAAAGGGTGTAGGAAAGGAAAAAATCCTGTTGATGCAAGTCATATGTGCAGCTACAAAAAACACAATCAGAAGTCTCTGGAGTTCACATTCCAGCGAAGTATTCCAATGGATCAGGCACACTTCTTGGAAATAGTTTGTGATAAACTACTGCCCTGCTTTCTGAGGTGTGGAGGTAAAGAATTCTGTCCAGAGAGGCAAAGATTCAGTGTCCATTCACATGTCTGTTTTTGTAGCCTCAGTTTCCCCAAGTCTTAAAGTGGTTGTAAAGGCTCAAGGTTTTTTTTTTTTTTTTTTTTTTTATCTTCATGCATTCTATGCATAAAAAGGTAAAAAAAAAAAAAAAAAAAAAAAAAAAAACAAAAACAAAAAAAAAAAACAACCACACTCTTCTGTGCAGCATCCTCCTCCCCCGCCCCCCACTAATACTCACCTAAGCCCCCTCTCGATCCAGCGATGTGCACTGGAGTCTTGGCTATCCCAGGACCCTTTCCTCATTGGCTGAGACAGAAGCAGGAGCCACTGGCTCCCACTACTGTCAATCACAGCCAGTGATCCAATGAGGGGGGCTGGGGCCAAGCGACGGCTCTGTGTGTGAATGGACACACGGAACAGCGGATGGGGAGTGTGCATGCTCGGGTGCCCCCACAGGAAGCTATGGATATGCTATAAATTTTTCAGATTTTATTTTGATTACCAAATATATGAAACCTTTCTTAACAGGGAGGGGTTATGCTTAGGAGGGGACTTGCTGCCTTCTTTTTTGGCCAGTGTCCAATCACCCGAAAGTGACAGTATTACCCTATCGTCATGGATATAAAATACGTTCTGTGTCCCTCGATCTACAAAATAGTATTGTGTAGTTTTACTTTAAAATCCAAATTTAAAAACTTCACTAGGGATAATCTTATTTTAGCAAGAAAACCACCCAGTTAGGGTCTAAATCACCCTTGCCTCTGAAAGCCAATCCGCATCTAGAGGCGACTTGACACCTCACTGCCTGTTTTATCCCCATTTTTGCCAACAACTGCACACGGTTGCAGGGCGATTGCTGTACTTCCCATTGATTTACATGTGTAGTGTTTGCTGCCCATTGAGTGATACATGTCGGGTCAACTTTGCTGTGGCACAGGAGCCAAGTATTTTGGCTGTGGCATGTAAGAATCCCCATCCGCTGCCTATTGCAGCTTAAGGGGGGACGGTTGGCAAAAGCACGGCCCAGCTGCACATTTTTGCACCATCCAACCACAAGATCTGAATTAGAGCTCCTTCTGCTTGGCCACTAGCGCATTATAGGGAGGGGAAGAAAAAAAAAAAAAAAAAAAAGGGCTAAAAAAAAAAAAAAAAAAAAAAAAAAAAGATTTGACAGCATAGCAAAGAGGATTACCTGGTGATCCTGCCTTGGCAGTACCTGTTTCAGGCATCTACTGTTAGAGGGGTAAAATGCTTTGTTCCATCATTCAGTTGTACTCTGTTACACAAGGCTTTTGATAGAGACCATCAAGTGGCTGTTGCAACATGCATACGCAGTCATGGTCCACTATTGTCAACATCAAAGCTTGCTCTGAGAAAAGCAATGCAAACCACTATAGTGCATGTATACAAAAAGATTGGTGGCATGAGACCAGCAGCACAGAGATGCAACAGAGGTCAAAAAACAAAAAACAGAAAAAAAAACAAAACAAAAAACAACCCACTTGAAAAACCAACTATTTTATTTTAGAAAATCACAAAGTATTATGATACACAGTACATTTACCCAAAGGGTACATGCATGTGTTCTTTGTAGGTGCAAAGGGAGCTGTAATGTAAAAACTGTCATTCTCCCTTGCCCAGAGGAGCCACAGATGGCATATACAGCCAGCTAAGAAGTATATGGCTGCATGTGCTGTTTAGCTTTGGCCTTTACCCATGCATGTGCGCATGACGCAATTTCTCAAATAAGAAAGTTATGTGTTTGGGACTCAATACATGCACGCACGATTAAACATCAATACAAAAGAGAATCCGCGTTTACATGAGTATAAGCACAGACTGCCATGCACTTCCATGGCAGTTTGGACACGCTACTTGGGGTTGCCTTGGCTCAGAGAAACGCCAAGAGCTTTTTTTTTTTTTTTTTTAGCAGAGCTTCCTTTCACCTGCAAATGTACGTGGGAAGAGGAAGAGGACACATTACTATCCTATACAATAAGGTCATTTCTATTCAATCATCACTGCATTTACACAGAGAGCAACACACCATACACAGGTACCTGCAGTTCCTGGTTTCTAGATAGAATTCTGTGTGCAGGGGGAAACTGTGCAGTAACTTTTTTAGCCATATGAAATTGGTTCTATAAAAAAGGTTGTGTGCATCAAGTAGGACACAACCGCTGTGATGGAAACTTCACGCAGCCAAGGTATTCAGAGTCTAAGGGAGTCAGTGGGTCTTTGGAAATGCGCATCTGCAGACAGCAGGTATATCTGCTGCAATTCCCTTCAAAAATACTCTGAGGAAAAACACATTGTAGAGAGGAAGGTGAGAATTACAGTGCAACAGTTCTCCCCAGAGGCAGAAACAGCTGGTACAGAATGAGGAGAATCTGGAGTAGCTCTTCCACGTCTTGCAAGCTTGTCTTTATATTAGAAAGCAGATAGTCAGGTGACAAACTTTACTGTATATATGTAAAAGGTGTAACAATACAATACTTACATGTAACCACGAAACCTGCTTAAATCGTTATTTGGCTTTTCACATTCAATAACACTTCTAAATTTCATTGGATCAAATTCAGATTCCTTTAAGAAAAAGCAAAAACAAAAGTTAAAATAAAATTACCCAAGTATTTGTGATACCGTTAATTCTGTTTCTCTCACTTGTGAAAATACAAGTAGCACAATATCCACAGATACCCTATATGGACAATGCACAATCCTGACCAAATTTGATTTATGCGAGGGACTGGCCTGAACTAAAAGTTCTACAGGCGATAGACGACATTTTGCTGCTATGGGAAGGAGAGGAGAGCTCTTTAGTCAACTTCTTCAGTACCCTCAACAATAACAATCTAAACATTAAATTGACCTATGAGTACAACACAAAAGAAATACATTTTCTAGATTTACCACTCAACAATGGAGATCATATTATTTGTGAAGCGATTTTTAAAAAAAAACAGATAGGAATAGCTTCATTCCCACATATAGCTGCCATCATCCCATCTGGCTAGCGAACATTCCTAAGAGTCAATTTATGAGGGTAAGAAGAAATTGCACCAACTTAACATCTTATTACACTAAGGCAAACATATTAAAAAATAGGTTTATTGAGAAGGGCTACGACAAAGTCAAACTTGATACTGAAATGGAGAACGTAGCTAAGATGAACAGAGATCTCATGCTATCCAATTCCACAACTCAAAGAACAGGCAAAACTTGCCCATTAGTAACTACTTTTTCACTTCAATATAAAGCAATTAAAATCATCAATAAGAATTGGGGTATTTTGAAGGCTGACCCGATTCTATCAAAAGAGCTACCAGACAGACCTGAGATAGTATTTAGTAGAGTACCCACTCTTCGCAACAGAATAGCACCCAACATCATAGATCCCCCCACACATTCCACTTTTTTCTCACAAATGAAGGGATTTTACCCTTGCAAGAAATGTGTTATCTGTCAACAAAGTAAAATGAAACTCAAGAAGATAGAAATTTTCTTATCTACAGGACAAACTTATGAGGTTACTTCCTTTATCTCCTGCAGTAGCAAGTATGAGGTCTATCTTCTCGAATGTCCATGTAAGAGCCAGTACATAGGACGCACCATTAGACGCCTAAGGGACCGATTTAGAGAACATGTGTATGTGTATAACATCAGAAAAGGCTTTAAGGAAGACCCTTTGTCTAAACATTTTCGATATCATAATCGTGATCCCTCGACGCTTAAATTCATGGGCATCGAAACGATTACCAACCATTGGAGGGGGCCTAACAAGACTAGACTTGTCTCACAGGCGGAGACCAAGTGGATTTTTAACATGAGAACTTTGCCCCCGACTGGTCACAACGTGGATATTGATCTAACTGCTATATTGATAACAGTTAAAATTTTAGCCCTTTCACACCCTTTATGTTGCGTATTTTCTAGTCTGATTCGACCACGACCATTCTTTACTAATTTTGTTTAGATTCTGGTGACTGGACTATATTCATATCGCACATTCTTACACATCCTTTTATTCATTTTATAATTACTGTATTTTATTTTTACACATTTCCCATTGAGGAAGTGCGTTCACATGCATTTATGGACGGATTTTTTATATTGTAGATTTATCTATTATTGGCGTTTGTTTTATTTATGCAATTTGGCAGTCCAGACTGCTTAATATTTTAAGCTTTATATCACAGGTTTGTATGGTATATACACAACCCTGAAGTGACAATATATGGATTTTATCTCACGGTGAGTTTATTGAACTCATTTTTCTTAACATACTAGTGGGACCTGCAGAATTTACTGTATTTGATATAGGATAAATAAGGTTGACTTAATTAGCATCACATCATATAATCGCAGTAAGCCCATATTAATTCATCTCAGTCTTGAATTATGGTATACAGCCATCTGCACTGCTATATTTCAGGCTTAGGGAAAATGGCGCTCGTGCGTGCGCAGTACGAGCGCATTTTGAGGTTATCTTTTTTCCAATGGCGCACACAAGTGTGCAGTTACCCAAATTATCATGGCGCACATATTATGTTCATAACATTCATGGTATATATATTGGCTCTGTACAACAAAATCATCTCCTGTAGTTCTGTTTTTTTAAGGTATCATTAAGTTATAAAATGGGATGATCTCACGCAGCTCCTTGCACCATCTCCTTTACTAAAAACGACAGGAAAATGGCGCCTGCACATGCGCAGTACAATATCTATTCTGTAATTGATCTTTGTGACATTTTATCTATGGGAAAATGGCGCCCGTTCACGCATGCGCACTTGCGTTGAACTTTGGCAAGATGTTGCACGATTGTAGTTTTTTGGCAGTTTTTTCAAATTATCTGATGCTATAAATAGCTGTATTGAGACGGCAGGCTGCACACAGGCATACCCCTTTTGACAATGAACGCTGAGTTCGAAACGCGTTAAGGAGGAGCCCTTGCAAGCTGCTGACATCAAGCCGTCGGATCCCCGCGAGCCACTTCATATTTCCAGCTGGTCAGTTATCCATGTGCATATTATATGCGACTTTTATTGTGGCACTTTCATTCATACTGCAGTTTTTGTACGATATTTTTTTTAACATAAAACTTTAGTATTATCAATAAAGCACCTTCTAAATACTACATTATGGGATATTCCTAATCTTTGCTCTGCATCGAGCACCTCAAATCCCCCAGCACCACTTCCAGTCAGTGTCCCAGCACCCTGAAGAGGTTGAGCTACTAATACGGACCACCACACCTCAGTACCTTTAAGAAGACCATCTACCCCCAGGCTGCATATCTGACCATACCTGAGGGACTCGTGTATACCAGGAGTACATTATACAATGCGCTTTTTATTAGCGCATCTGGCAAGTGCGCACTCTGTATGTTTAACACATCAACCCAAATAACACTCTGGGACTTTACATTAGTCATTTGAAGATCTTACCGGATTTAAAAGATAATTTGAACGTTATATTACCACCACACACGTCATAATCATGCGTTTTTAATCAATATTTACATGTTAATCTATTCGTTCACTTTCAAGAGCTTTTCTGTTATTATTGATGTCTACTACTTACCATATGCATAACGCATTTATCTCATACATGCGTTTATAAGCCAAAAATTGTTTTTCTCTATTTAAATCTAGCGCGCTGCACCAAATATTTAATTTTTCAGCTTATTTGAAGGCATTTTGGTTTACCTTATAGTGTGTTCAGCTGCTTATTTCATACAATTGGTTTTAGCGCTCGCTTTAATTATTTTATCATTGCACAATCCTGACCAATTTATTTTTATTCTTCCCGCTTTGAAGACGATGCTAGGTCTCTCACCAAATTTGGAAACAGGTTTTAAAAGCAGTTATTCTAATGTCTACATTTAGGATTTGTTGTTTACCTAGCACTCTAACGCAGAACCTCAAAATGACAGCAGGAAATGCCACTTCAACTTCATGTACTCACATTCAAAGTTAAATATTGGACCATCATATTCTGCAAATGAAACACAGCCTAGTGGTAAAAATAATCAGTGTTACGTGTAAAAGTATACACACCTTTAAAGCGGTTCTAACACATAAAGGGTTATTTTTTTTTTACCTTAATGCATACTCTGCATGAAGGCAACCCCCTCCCCCCTCACCCATCTTTTTGGTTTCTAACTAGTTTTGCATTTGGCTAGGGTCAGGGTCACTACTGGTAGCATGAGGGGATACCTGGACCCTACAGAGGTTGCACAAGCAGTCCAACTCCTCCAGGATGGCAGATCAATATGTGCCATTGACAGAAGGTTTGCTGTGTCTCCCAGCACAGTCTCAAGAGCATGGAGGAGATTCCAGGAGACAGGCAGTTACTCTAGGATAGCTGGACAGGGTTGTAGAAGGTCCATAACCCCTCAGGACCAGTATCGGCTCCTTTGTGCAAGGAAGAACAGGATGAGCTCTGCCAGAGCTCTACAAAATGACCTCCAGTAGGCCACTGGTGTGAATGTCTCTGACCAAACAATCAGAAACAGACTTCATGAGGGTAGCCTGCAGGCCTGACATAGTCACTGCCCAGCACTATAGAGCTTGATTGGCATTTGCCATTGAACACCAGAATTGGCAGGTCCGCCACTCGCCTCTACTCTGACACAATTATAGAAGATTAGTTTGGTCAAAAACATCCAAAAAAGTTAAATTAAAAAAAAAAAAAAAAAAAAGTTGCCCCAAAGCTTTAAAAATGTTAAAAGCAGTATTAACCCTTCCATGATCTAATGATAGACTTCTCTTGAATGGCAATGTTGGAAAATTTTAATTCAATCAGCGCTTGCAGTGCTGATCAGTGTATTCTGACAGCGGTGGAGTTCCTGCTGTCAGAATACAATAGCACAGCGGGTAGGATTGCGCCATCAGCCTCACTAGTGTGGATGAGGGAATACGTTTTTAGATTAGCCAGCTGAACAAAACAAAACACAAACAAAAAACCACACATCCATGTATGGCCAGCCATATTTTGTATAATCTCCTTGCGTACCAAGTACTACTATCTTTACTGCCTATGGCACCAATTGGCTGTCTTGGATAACAGCTGGTATGGCAAATAATGGTCCCAATTGCAGAAAGCTTTGCTTTTATTGAGTTATCAGGCCCCACCATCTAAATAATCACCAATAAAAAAGGTTATATCACAAACCCTTGGCTTAAACATGAGCACTATCACAGCACTCCACATATTTTGGGACAACAGCCTACCAAACATTAGCAAGTAAAACTGCAAAACGTGCAGGCAACTAAGATCTGACTCCTGGGATTTAGTGTACACAGATTTTCCCATGGCACCAAGTAGAGCAAACTCTCTCTGCCAAGCTGCGATGTCACCGATTCCCAAGCATTTTGCTTTTTCACAATGTATTTTTAATCTGATTTTAATTCAAGTAAGTTTATCGTGACAAAGGATTAATAAAGAAGCCATTATTAAAGAACCAACATATTTTTGAGGATTTGTAAACATTCTACTTACAGCACAAGGATTCAATAGTTTTTTTTTTTTTTTTTTTTTTTTTTTTTTTTTTTTTTTTTTTT